CTGGCTATGACAGTGGACTGGATGAGGCCCAACAAACTCAAACTCCATCCAGACAAGGCTGAGATGCTGTTGGTGGGCGGTTCTTTTGACTGGGCTGGGGGTGTTCAACCTGTTCTAGATGGGGTCGCACTCCCCTGAAGGAGCAGCTCTGCAGTTTGGGGGTGCTCTTTGATCCACCTTTGTCACTTGAGGCTTGGACGGCATCAGGAGCTCAGAGCACCCTCTACCAGCTTTGGCTCCCCTGTACCCCTATCTGGACAGGGATGGCCTGGCTTCAGTAGTCTACACGCTGGTGATCTCTAAACTGGATTATAACGCACTCTCCATGGGGCTGGCCTTGAAGGTGGTTCAGAAGATGCAGCTGGTGCAGAATGCAGTGGCCGGATTAACAACTGGGACCCGCAGGTCCAAACAAAAAAGACTGTTTCTGCTCCCCCTTGTACTGGCTACCTGTATGCTTCTGGTCCCAATTCAAGGTGCTGGTTTCAACCCATAAAGCCTTACATGGCTTAGGAACACAATGCTTGAGAAAGTGTCTCTTCCAACTGCAGTTCCATGTCCTTTCTCCAAGTGCCAACTTTGGGAGAGGCTAGGGGGCAGCCACAAGAGGGAGAGATTCCTCTGTAAGCCCCCCCCCCCACCCCCAGACATTTGGAATGGCCTCCTAACTGAAGCCTGCTTGGCACCAACCTTGTCATTTCTTCAGTGCCAGATCAGATGCCCCTATAAACTGAGGCTTTTAAAGATACACTTGGATATCCAAAGCCTTGAGGGGCTTACCCATCCCAGGTATTTTTTACAGGGCTATACTTCTCTGTGCATTTTTAAACTGTTCTTCGTCTTCTTTTTTTACTATGTTGTTTGTACTTCTATACAATTTTATGGCCTGTTATTGCATTGTTAAACCACCAAGATGTAAACTGTTGCAGATAAGCATTTCTAAGCTGGCGATCGTGCAGTATAGAAATGGCATCAATGATGATGATAATACAATAACACTTTTTACATGTTACATAAATAATCATTCTTACCAAACAGATAATAACAATGTCAAGTCTTTGTAAGCTATAAAAGCTTATGAACAGTGGCCAGAGCACCAAAAGGAGGAGGAGGATGTTCAGGGGTACATCCACCAGAGCTTGCCCACACCAGTATGCAGAAGGAAAGAGCCCTGAGACCCGCAGCTGAGAGCGAGCTTTGATCTGGAAAAGAAGATGGCAGATGATTGTTACACCCTTCAGTTTCCCTTCTAATTAGCTCAACACAATGCCAACATAATTATTTTCTCTGGTTCTCCTTATCCTCTCTTCTTATTCCCACTACAACTTTTAATTGCTTTACTTAGTTTCTTTCATACCACACATATCCTAATTAAATATAAACCCACTTCAAGTTATTAATGAAAAGTTATGAGCCCTGGGTGCAGAAATTCTGATGCCCATATTTATTTATTTATTTATTAAAAACTTTTGTATACAGTCCCATCACTGACATCACAGGACGGTTTACAATAACATTTGGTTCTCAATCCACTGCTAACACATGCATAAGGTTGGTCGATGAAGAAACCTCACTGAGCTCGGTAGAGCTCTCCCTTCCGTTCTATCCCGCTATCTGTTAACATGAGTCATTAAGGGAAATAGGATTTTAGCCTGCTAATTGCAAAGCCTCCCAGAAGAGGAGAGAGAGCTGTGGGGTGGCTGCAAGAGCAGTCCTGCTAGCAGGAGGCAGCTCGTGGGGGTCTGCAGAGAAGAGGATGGCAGTAGCTGCAGCTGCTGGAGGGGAGCAGTGAAGGGGCAAGAGGAGGAAGGGGCTGGTGAAGCAGAAATCAATAAACAAGGAAAGGCAGGTGGTAGCAGTGGGGGAAAGAGTGCAGCAGCCTGCCTGCTTGTGGGGCACCACCATAGCTCCTTTCCTGGGGTACCAGAATGCCGTGAGATGGTGTGGCCTGAAATAATCCACCCAGCCAGATGTGCACCGAATGACAGGTGGGCGGAGGGAATTCAGATTTCTTCTTAGGTCTAGAGAAAATTGCAGCTTGGGACCCAATGGATCCAGCGCCACAGAACCTCCCTGGTGGCATCCCACTTCTAAGCATACTCCTGCCCTGTAGCGCCTGCCTAGGGGCTCCAGAAGACACAGCTGGAAGAGAAAAATGCCCATACTCCTGGCCAGCCCTCAGTTTCTACTTGAGGAATGATGGTTCTGCAAGCATGGAGTGAGAAAAAGGGCTGGAAGGTCATATGCGTGCTGCACACAGGCAGGCAGGTTGCATACCTGTAACTGTCGTTCTTCGAGAAGTCCGCTGCGCATTCACACATATGGGGTGCTGTGCCTGTGTAGTGCCACATTCCAGCAGAGTCCTCTAGCTAAGCCTAGAATTGTTGGCGGGAGGCCCATCCCCCCTTCCCATTATATAAATAAGCGGACGCCCGCCATTTTCTCAGTCCACCTGGAGACTGAGGCTTAGCTAGAGGAATCTTCCCGGATGTGGCACTGCACAAGCGCAGTGCCCCGTTTGTGTGATGCACAGGGACCATGATGAAGAACTCCAGAACCCAAGATGGTTATCTGAGGCCCTTCTTCCAGGGCCACTTCCAGATGAGGTATTGAAGATGGTCATGGCTAAAAGAGCCTTTGCGGTCAGGTCATCCCTGATTTGCAATGCCCAATGGTAGAAGATGCCATTTTTCATGCCATTTCTCCATCATGCAGAGAGCATTGATTTTCCAGAGCCTTCTAAATCTTCCTGTAGTTTTAAAATCAGTTTTATTTCCTTCTGTTTTGTTTTCTCAATATTTTCAATCTAAATTACATTTGGGGAGTTTTTTAATGAAGCCTTTTATTGCCATGCTTTTCTTCAGTATTGTTGGTCGAATTGGAATTTAGAGTTTGTAGAAACCTGAAATATCTATTTGTTTACCTTCCACTGTGGCATGCTGGAGTCAAATGAGTTTGAGACTTAAACTTGAGTGGAATATCTACACCCAGCTCTAATGAACACCAAAGAATAACAGTCATAGGTTGCCAAGAGTTAACCTGAATACGCCAGTGTTGCAGAGAATTATTGGACTGCTAAAGTAAACCACAGATAGAATATGCATTGCAAGTATATCTTTGTACTCTCCCACTCCAATTGAAATCAAAGAGCTGTTCGTTGCAAACATCTTTCACCTTGTAGTCGCGACTGCTCATCATTGTGAAGTGTGGTGGAAAAGCAGGAAATAAAAGGATGACTGCAAAAATGTAAACTTGAACAAAGTAAGTCCACATGCTTTCGTCATTAAATTCCTGGAAAATAAATCAGAAAAACATTGCTTATAATCACTTTTTATGTATCTGTGTGTATACATAGATAATAAATAACCAATAGTTCATCTTTATGCTTGGTTGGTTTAAAGAAGATTATGAGCAACATGTAAGATAATAAAGACAGGTTTCTTAGTGTAATTCTTTGAGTGGTTGTCTGTAGGGTTAAACATGGCTTCAGTGCCTGCCCAGGGCTTTGTTTGGACAGGCAAATGAAAGCTAGGCTAGCATTTTGGTGAGCACGTGCTTTCCTTCACAGGCAACTAAAGGAAGTGTGGATCTGGCCTTCCTGTGACATCCTATTTCTGACCACCATTTATTTAATTCATTTATTTTATGCATTCCCTACTAGTCTAATCTTCCCAGTAAAGAATGTTTCCTATAAGCAACAGCATTACAAGCAGGTAAACAACCTGAAATGGCAAGGGAAAATTAAATATGCGTGGCACAATACAGATATAGGAAAGATGGAAATACTGCACAATGGCAAACAGTGCGCAAGGCAGGCATCGGTGGAGCGGCCACGGCAGTGAGGGTGGCATCCCTGCAGTTCTGCACAGGAGCTAGAGCACAACCCGGCCCCAGGGCAGCTGCGGGGAAAGCAGGTTGGGCTGCGTGGCTGCAGTGCTGACCGTCGCAAGACCTACTGCTATGTGCAAGCAACCTATTTTCCTTTTCTGCGGTTTTGTGCTGGAAGACAGCTGCATACCTAATTAGAATGATGGAACGAGTGCCTTTCAAAGAGAAAATATCATGGCTTCTGCTTTAAAAATAGATTTTCCCAGTTTTTAATATATCATTAAAATCCATATGAATTAACTGAGAAGGATATTTCTATAAAAAACCCTTTTCCCAGTCAATGCATGCTAGGAACAGCTTTTACAGTCCGGGCAAAACACTTACACCAACAAAGGTGTGACTCCAGATGCGAAGACGGGCAGTGGAATTAAACATGTGCAGGAATGCATTGCTGATGATGTTGACCAGCACTGGGAAGCAGTGTATTACCTCCGTGTGGCACATGAGTGTGAACCTGTATTTCTGACACAAACCAGGACGGGGAGACCAGTTAGAGCTCGAGTGAGTCAGGGGAGATCGGGAGGAGAGCACAGAGCCAGCCAAGAAGCAGGAGAACATAAATTATATGTTAACTGCTTGTACCAATGATCCTGGCCCAGAAGCACTGGGGACCTCAATGCTCCCCCAATCTCAGTGAGGCCCAGCTGGAAACCTCTTTCTCTCTAAACGTCATACTGCAGGTTAGCTAGCCAACTGTCCCCCCCCCCCTTTGCTTTAGTGTGTCACTTTCAGCAAGCTCTGATGGATATTTTGCCCTGAAGACTGGGCAGAAATACAACTGAACTGTCAAGGGACAAGGACATGCCATGTCCCCGCAGAGGGGGACCGAATGCCGGGCTGGGGAGCCATGCATGGGTGGAGACCATAGAATACATATACGTTACCTTGTCTTCAAGGGCTACTTTTATGGCCCCGTTGTGTACAAGCTGGCCACTGACGTTGTTGCCTGACACCACTTCCAACAGGATATTCTGGCTCTTCACGGCATGGATAAAATTGTCTATGCTTGCACCTGGTTAATAAGAAAAAGAGACAGCAAGGAGTCTTGGCGCAAGGACCAGAATAGCCAAATCTTCACATGCGCGCACACGAGAGAAGTATCTATTGAAGCATTAGGCAGACAGTAGTGTATTCCCTTCCACCCCCTTGCCTGTGTCATTGAGGATCAGGAGTCCACTGGTTCCCATGAAAGACTGCCTTCCTGGCTCAAAGTACAGGCGAGGATGAAGCTCTCCATAATGCAGATTCAACCAAATATGCACTGATATTAAATTGTGGAAAAAAGGTGCTAGCATTATTCCAGAAAGAAGTAATCTGTAAAGAAGAAAAGATACTAATTAAGCACAGGAGGAAGATATTTCGCCACTTGCTTTAAAGCAAATTTATGTTGAATCAGAGGAGGGAAGTTACACATGCAGCAAAGGGAATCTTTATCAGTTAAGACCATAAGAAAAGCCAAGCTGGATCAGTGCAATGGTCCATCTAGTCTAGCAGTCTGTACACACAGCAGCAAACAAGCTGCCCGCAGGAACCCTCAAGCAGGATGAGTGCAAGACCTCCTCCTACCCAAGCTGCTTAGTAACTGCTGCATGCAGGCATGCCACCTCTGGAAAAAGAGACAGCACATAGAAAGCAAGTCTAGTAGCCATGAATGACCTCCTCCCCCAGGAATCTGTCCAGTCCCTTTTTGCAGCCATCCAGATTGGCAGCCATCATCATTTCCCATGGCAGCAAATTCTATACTTTTATTATACGCTATGTGAAGAACTACTTCCTTTTATCTATCCTAAACCTTCCACCACTCAGCTTCATGGGATAACCCTGGGTTTGAGTGTTATGGGAAAGGGAGGAAAAAACTCTCTCTCTCTCTCTCTCTCCCCCCCTCTCCTTTCACCACACCATGCATTATCTTAATGATTTATTAAATTATTTCATCAAATCATTAAAGTGTAATTAGAGTCTAATGTGTGCCATCACACTCTGACACTATTTCAAGCTTTAAGATGCAGAGCAAAGCAACTCCTTTCTCAGTCCCCTGAGATTCACCACTCAGGAAACAGAAGGACTAATTCAGAAAGTAGCTGGCCAAGGGGACACCTGTCCATTCACACTTCCCTTTGGGGACACCAGTGAAGCCAGATGCCCTCTTGGTTCATCTTTGCTACATGTTCCAATGCAACCAATTTTACCAGCCATAAAACAAAAGAAGTGATATATTTATACCCTTACTAGGCGCTTCTATGGCACAGTAATAGTCTCAGAAAAAAGGAGGAGACAAAATTAGGGCTGAACTCCATGTATCACATTAGAAATTATGCATTGTGAAATTCTAATTATAGGTTGGGGGTTGGGCAATGTTCACCTTTTTGCCAAGAAAAAACATGCAGAAAAGGAAGGGTTAATCTGACAATCAAGCAGGCCATTCCACTGGCAGCCAATATGCTCAGCATGCTGGAAAACAGGAGATTTTGGAGAACAAAAAGGGAAAGAATGGTTTGGCACTCACAGGGATGCCCAGACTTTCCTCTCACGCCTGAGATTTAAGAAGTGCATTCTTGCCATGGCACAAACTTGGCTTCTCCAGAGCTCAGCGCCCTTCATTGTTGCCTGTCCAGCATCTGAGAGCAACAGCACATCTTGTTCCCTTTCACCCTTGTCCCCTCGTTCTCCATGATGAGCACCATAATCTGTGATAATTTAGATTGTTAACTAAAAACAAAACCAGGGCTTTGCTGTCAGCCTAAGGACTTTCCCCTCCCTTCTGTTCCCTGCTCCGCATTCTCCTTGCTCGCACCACAACCAGTGCAGTCTCTGGGAGACCATCCAGCAAGATTTCCCAGATCTGGAAAGACGAGGGAAGGGGTGGTGATAGCCCCAAAGTATTACTCCCCATATCTATGGTCACAAGTTCATGTTTTCTCAGACACAGCAGCAAGCATTGCAGCAATGCACAATGTTTGCAACCATAGTTCACCTTCGGCGTCGATGGTTTCATCTCCCTGCAGCCTCAGGAAGACGTCTTCCAGAGTTGTCATGGTCACCCCGTAGTTCACAATTCCCAGGTCTGTTTGGCCATCCATGTCGCTGAACAAATCTGCATGACGGAAACAAAGAAACAGAAACAGAGCAAGCGAGAAGGGGCCTGCTGGGCCATCTAGACTGACCCCCGGCTCCAGCCGGCTCCGCTCACGACGTGCCCACCGTGATGGGGGAGAAGGGCCCAGATGCCAGCCTGCCATGTGTCCTCCTACCTCAGGCTAAAGATCTCGTAACCCCATAATGGCCTGCGTCATTGCATACAGGGAATTTGAGCAGAATGACATTTTAGGGCAGGTACACCCTGTGCCTAGGACTTTCGTGTCTTTGCTGTGCCAGAAGAAGACTTCATTATTTTTTACAAGCTTGGATTTTTTTCCCCAAAATTGCAGTCTTGCCTTTCGCTGTGGTACCAGCTGCACAGTTTTCCACTCAACAAACTTTTTACACACAGCAATCGCAGCTAAAAATCTGGCAACATAGATGTGATGTGCGGGTGTGGTATTACAGCATATTTCTGCTGTTAACAATTGGTGCTTTAGAACATTAATATTCTAATCTGTGGGTTTCCAAGAGAATGTAAATTTTTGACAAACTGAGAAATAGATGCAAATTAGGGTATTGCTCAACTAACTGGGCACTCAGAGATAAGAGCAATGAGGCTAGTTATCCGTCCTTTCTTAAGCAGGCCCTTACCTGGAAATTTATCCACATTTTCTAAGGGCAGCGTATAACTCAGCTCATTCTCACGCTGCCCAGACAATACGGCAGCAGGGATGTATCGCTTGACCAGAGCTGTTGTTCTCTCAGGGCTGCAGAGCTCACTTACATGCATCCTGCGCATACAGAAAGCTGTTTAGACACCCACCAGTGGCCCAGTTTTACAAGAATCAATTCAGAACAAATCCCCTCTGAACAAAGCATCTGAGATCCAGCCCCAGCTCAGAGAAGCGCATTCTTCCAACATTGTGTGAAGCCATCGCTTTCCGATTTTGATTGGGCTGCTGGCAAAACTGGGATGAACTTAAAACTATGGGACTTCTGCAGAAAATGGAAGCCAGTGTTTAGTCCCCATTCCCTTCCCTGATTATGCAGTAATGGAGTCCAGATGCTCTGGCGTCTCTGCCACTGGGGCCTGTGCTGCTGCTGGCCAGAGCTGGAGCCTCAGCTGGGACTGTAGCAGCTTGTGAAGAACCCAACGAAGACCAGCCCTGCCAGGGTGACCCCAAGGGTGTTGCCCCTTTGAGAGCCACAAGGGCAGGGAATAGGAAGATTATTTGGCTCCTGTATGAGAGCCAGACCTGTGACCCTCACACAGGGTAGGAGCCTGGCTGGGGAAAGTTGTGGCATGTGGGATTCCAGTCCTCCCTCACCCTGGATGGGAGACAGGGAGGAAAAAGCCTGGGAGGCAAGGAGAGCCTGAAAGCCAAAAGCAGAAATGAGGGTGCCCTGATGCACGTCATGGGGCCCTGGGCGGCATAAGCAGAGCCCAGCTTAGCCCACCTAGTCACGCAGTGCAGCACCAACCACGGCTGAATGTTTGTCGTGTGGGAGTTCCCATGACCTGCAAGACACCAGGAAATCTTTCCAGCCTACCGCAGGCTACAAGGGCCTCTACCTTGCATTGGGCCAAGGAGACAGACCGGGGATGCTTTTGGTGTGCGACCAATCCTGCTGTCCAGTGGAATCTCTGACCGAGCTGGCTGAAGCCACTGGGACATGCTGTGGGAGAACCCTGGGGCCCTGATCCTTCAATGGAGGTTTCAACATCTATTATAAGTCGGCCTTAACTGAGCCATTTTATTCAAAACGTATCTGGCAAAGCGCATCGCAACAGACTTCTGTGGGTTCCAGGGTGCCCACTGGGTGGGGTTAAAGTTACTCCTGAACCATGGAAGAGATGCATGGGATCATGACCAGCATGATCGGACTTCTACTAGGCTGCTGCATTCCACATTGGTGGCAGCTTCCAAGCCTTCTTCAAGGGCAGCCCCATGTAGTACGTATTTAAACTGCAACCTCTCAGAGGAGTCTTCATGTGAAGACAGCAGGAATGAGTGCACACTGAACTCCTCAAGCATCCCTTCCAGGTTGGTCTCTACATGGGGAGCACCAACTGATATTTCTTCAGCAGCTACTGGCATGATAGGTTATACCAGATCATTATGTACAAGCCGAGTACATAAACAAGATTCCATGCTCCTGGCCTTGGCCCACCCACAAGGCAGAGCACATCTACTTCAAATTCTCAGCCCATCCCTCATCAGGAGGCCCCTTGACACATTTCCACTTTCCGTTGGCAGTGAGAGAGGCCATTTGATGCTGTGGCACCAATTCCTTTGCCAATTTATTTTTCTTTGACTCTGCACAGGTTTTTGGCTATGATCTTGTGCCTTTGCTGCATGTTGCTTTGCTTCCAGTTACTGATTTCCTCACCGTTGCTTTTGCTGATTTGAGCTGCCTTGAGGCATACAGTCTTCCCTGAATAACAGAATGAGGGCTGTTGCCCTCATGTGCTGCTTGTGGCTTTCCTATGGGTAGGTGGTTGGCCCCATGTGGTGAGGTTGCTGGACCAGATGGACCTTGGGCTGATCCAGCAGGGCTCTTCCTCTCATGCTCTTCAAAGATAATTATTATGTGTCACTGCAGAGCACTGCTATGGCACAAATGGTACCATGACCAGACAGAGGAAAGCACAGTATCGTCACACTCAAAGTACCTTAAATGATAGCCAATACCCCATTTTTTCTTCAAGAACAGCGATGAGCCAACACATTTCAGTCTGCCGTGCGAGATAAAGGCTTTCCGGTCTACAGAAAAACAACCATCATCACCACAAAATTCTAGAAATCTCTTTTAGTTGTTAGAAGATCTCTTTGGCAAATGCCAAGCATCAGATGGAAGTATCAGAAGGGGCAGCATGGAGGCTGGACATTCGCAAGGAGGAATGTGGAACACAAATGATCCTGAGGACATGCTCGTGATTAAACAAGCACCCCAGCAGGGCCTGCAAACAAATTGACTTCTTTGAGTCAGGCCATCCCAGCATAATAAAGTGGCCTGGCTGTTGGGTTTGGGTATCACACATTCAGATTCCCCGCTTTCTCAAATTTATCAGCACCTGGCCAGTTTTGTGAGGCCTCTGCCTGATCATCATGTGGAGACTGCAGCCACGCCTCTTTCTCTATACTTCCTCTTCATGCACCTCCCATGATCAGGACAAGACATCTGGAAGGGTTATCCTGACACAGAGCAAGGGGCTTTAGGTGAAACAATAACCCACATTTATGGTTTGAGTACAGATTGAGTGTGGCTTGACAAACCACCAGGGGAAACTCGACTCACCAGCAAGAATATCTGCCTCGTTCATGAACTGAGTGGTGAACAGAGTTACCCGGCCTGCCTTGCGCTCACTCAAGAGGGCCCACACCCGGTGTCTAGAATAAGGATCCAGCCCGGCAGTTGGCTCGTCTAGTAACAAGACCTGCAGGCAGGAACATGTTTACACAGAATCAGAAAATAGCAGAGTTGGAAGGGGCCATGAAGGCCATGGGGTCCAACCCCCTGCAGTTGCAGGACACCATGTTACACCATCCCACTCAGATGAATGACTAGTTTTGCCTTGAATGATTTTAGTGTGGGAGAGCCCATGGCCTCTCTAGGTTTCACTGCTGTATTGTTCTGAGGAAACTTTTCCTGATATCTAGCCCAAATCTGGGTTGCCACAACTTGAATTGATTATTCCGTGTCCTACATGCTAGTATCTGCAAGAAGAGATCTTGACCTTCCTCTTTGTGACAGTCATTGAGGTACTCAGGGAGTGATAACATGTTCTCAAGGCTGAACATCTCCATTTCTCTCAGTCTGTCCTCACAGGGCAGTGTTTCCAAACCCTGGATCATTTTTGCTGCCCTCCTCTGGACCCTTTCTAATTTTTCTGCATCTTTCTTAAAACTTGGTGCCCAGAAATGGACACGGTATTTCAGATGAGATCTGACTATTGAAAAGTATAGGGGAACTACTACTTCTTGTGATTTGGAAATAATACTTTTGTTGATGCTTCCCAAAATAGGTTAAATGCTTGACTCCAATTGCACTGAGAAATGTGCATTTAACATTTAGTGTTGGACAATATCAAATGTTTTTTTCTTTACAGTGAGATAAGCATATGTGGCTTTTAAAGAAATTCATATTTTATTTTATTATTTTATTTTATTGCAATTCAAGCTAATTCTGAATAAATTTTACATGCAAAGCCTTCAAGAAAGTTTTAAGAAGATAACTGGATCTTCCAACAATGGTGATGTAATAGGATGATGTGTGAAATCTTTCCTATTCTGACAGTGGAACTTTTCCTGCTGAAGGAAAGCACTCGCACCAGGTATTCCTAACCCTCTGCAGCCACAGAGACCAGGCTTAGGGGGCTCCAGAACCTACCAGAGATCATCAGTTAGAAGGGAATAGTGACATATGGGAAAGTCATTTGCTAATTAATGTAGCCAATTCACAAATTCACCAAAAAATCTATTTGAGTTTTCAGTGTGTTCCTCAAAACATAAAAAAGTGCAGACTTTATGAAAATTGCACATGGAGCTGATTTTCTCTGTACATTGGCTTTAAAAATTGCAGGTTTGAATGGAAACAAGATGAGATGAGTGTGACATGAGATCCACTCCACCTGCAAATTTCAGTGAGAGTATTCCTTAAAGGAAACTAATGTACGCAATATGTGCAATAGATCTGTTTGTCTGATCATGTTTTACCTGTGGGTCTCCTAAGAAAGTAATCCCAAGGGACAATTTCCGCTTCTGTCCTCCACTTAATCGATTAGCTTGCGTGTCTTGAATGGCCCCGATATCCAACAGGGTCAGTATGTTCTGCACCTGTGAGGTGTATAAATACTGGCATGTTAGTCCTTCCCAATTTTTTTATCTTCTGTTCTGCTTCCTGCTTACTTGAAATGGGTGTGTGTGTGTGCATTTCTGCAGACCATATATAATTCTGATGTGGCTTTGGATGGTCAGAAGATATCACGTTTACTTTCATTTGAAATACTGAGGGCTTTCAGACTGGCTGCTGTCCTTGGAACTGACATTGTTTCCTCCCAACAATCAAGAGGTCCTCACTCCCAAATGGTCTCATTCCTGTGCTGCTTTTTGTTTTGTTATTTTCTCATTCTTTTAAATATCTGTGTTAGTTTCCTAATTATCAGTGCACTACTATGATGATAGAAACATAGAAACAGAGTGAGTCAGAAGGGGTCTCCCGGGCCATCTAGTCTGACCCCCGGCTCCAGCCAGCTCCGCTCACAACATGCCCACCATGTGCATGTCCAGCCTATCCTTGAACACCCTCACCGATGGGGCCTCAACCACCTCCCGTGGAAGCCCATTCCGCACTCTCGGGGTCCTGACTGTCAGGAAGTGCTTCCTGGCATCTAAATGGAACCTGGGTTCCCTGAGCTTTGCTCCATTGGAGCACGTCCTGCCTTCCTCTGCAGGAATGATCTTCCTGTAGGGACTGGCAAGGCAGTCTCGATTCATCTTTTGGAAGTATGGTCTGTGAGGCAGTTGCTGAAGCCCCAGCTGTCTGCATTCCTCACTCTGCATTGCACACTGCTGCTACGCCCTGTCCTGCACCCTGAAGTCCTTCAAAATAGTTTCAAATTGTGCAGGTTAGTTGTACAGAAGATGAAACAGGGACTAAATTCAACCCACCCATTCCCTGCCAAACCAATGAGTGACCAGATTTTAACCTGCACTACCTGCTTGCACCTGCGTTGTTTCACATCCTATGGGATTTTTTCCCACATCATTTTCTACCAACTGACAGTAGCATTTCTCCCACAACTACCTTTATGGCCTTTGTGTGGGCTTGGGTACTATAGAATAGAAGCCCTTTAGATGATCTAGCACAGCCCTTCTTCAAACTGCATTCAATTACTGCATTAAATTATCTAAGGTTTCTACTTTCCCAGATTCTTTAAATTCTCTTGAGTGCATCCCATTTTCTGTCACAGCAAAATATCAGTGCTGGACTTAACATGGCAAGTTCCTTTTCCTAAGTTTACAAGACTCTCCCAGTTCATATTATTGTATGACTACCACCCCTTGCCAGAATGGCGCTGCCTGGGAACAGTCCAACAGCCTGTGGTCCAACTTTTGGGAAAAGTTGTTATGTCTGCATTGCTGTTACATAGATTTAACATACACAGATAGGATATGCTGGTTCTTCTGAGAAAATTAGTTCCCTATAAAACCTGTTAACATCAATGGGATTGAAGTTGTTTTCAATAAAACTGCCAGTGATTTCAAGGTTGGGCTGGCTGAATATAAATACAAACGGCACATAAGATAAGGCAGAAAAAAAAA